CAAATCACCGGTGAACGAAACTGCGGCAGCTGCAACCACTGTACGACGAGTACGCGGTTCTTACAGCTGACAATGATGATGATGATGGTTCTTAGGCAGTCTGCACGTTTCAGCTAGCATGACCGATCCAAACGATGTCATCGGCGACCTCCGAATCCACGATTGCATTGCGGGAATCGGGACGCTCCGCTTATGTGGCATTTGGGTACCTTGTACGGCACATCAGTGAGCACTAGGTTGAAGAGGAACGGAGAGGTAAAACGGTCCGATCGCACTTCAGTACCCACTGCTTAGAGAACGGAAGATGAATTGATGCTGCCGGACATGTGTAATAGTGTCCTAGCATTGACCAAAGATGAAGATTTGATCTACACAGCTCCGAGCTGCACAATTTTAACCTTTCAGTTGAGAATCAGCCACTTGAGGAGCCAGTAAATGCCGTGACTGAAAAATGAGTGGTGTTGTATCTTGTCTCATTGTGAATTACTCATTGCTGCCTATCCGCTCATGGCCGAAATGGCTCAGTGGTTAGAGCGCGGCTTTAGTAACCAGAAGGTCCTTGGTTCGAACCCGACTTCTGTCTAGGCAACCTGGCAGTATCCCAGCAGTTGTGGTTCCTTCAGGTGTGGCATGGCATCTCGGCACCGAAAGCTGGCTATCTTTCCTTAATACGAACTAACCGAAAAACACCCGTTCAGCCGTAACATTTTTTCGGTGTATGTTTGCAAGGCCACCTGAAGGAACCACGGGGGTGGCATTCTGCTAGGCTGCCCAAGCCTAGGTTAGAGCAGTCGAGATGATCAATTTTTCCCCTGGATATTGAGATGTGTGAATGAATCTTATCATCTAATGCGCCCCCCGCTGCCGACCTAACTTTTTGACATCGACTACCCCAATATTCAGGCCGAAACTATCCGGAATTTATTTATTGGAAATGTACATCTCACCTTTTAAGGTTATGTAGGGTTCAGCCAGTTTGTCAGTCCCATTAGCCAACTGGATTCCTACACTCTCGAAAGCACCCAGCTACTGCATTTCTCACTGATCCTTAGAGCGCATAAACCGGTGTGGTGTTTATTCCATCACCGAAACCTCATGTCCTGTTTCCTGAGGTGTCCCAACCTGTTTGATTTTCAGAGGCGGCCACTTCGTCGATACGCTCCGTCCCACATACCGGACTTGCTCAGTTTGCCAACCATTGCTCCAGCTTCGTTTCTTCAGACCTCGGCCGCTGCCGGTCGCTTGTTCACCACCATTTCCAACCCGATGGAAGCGCTAGCCTCGATACCTGTGACTGGCACAAAAGTCAGTCCCATCCAAGGGTTCCGGGTGGAGATTCGAAATTTGCAGCCCTCAGTGACGCTGGACGACGTGTTTGTGAGTTTCCCAGAGCGTTGTTATGAAGTGACTGCATTCGTGGACAAATATCAGTCGACCGATCCAATTTTTTAGTTTAATTAATTGATTAAACAGAGTTGTGGTGGTGCATTTTCTTTTCCGACATGTGTTATGATATTTCCGATGTTATCCCTTGTCAATTACCGTAATTGCGTGAGCCACGACCACTGTCGGGGCGTTTTTGGAATCCTCATCTTTGGATTCGAAACTTAGTTTTCCCAGGCAGAAGTCAAACACTTCTGTCCGTTAACTATTGTATTTTAACTTGGATTTGATAGGCGAATGGTTATTGGTTGATTGTGCGCTATGTCAGGATTGGCTTTTCCGTTGTAATCGGGACCTGTGTACATCATCTGACTTTGTTCAGGAGCTGTTCAGTAGCATTGGGACGCTTCGCCTTTGCAACCTGATTCGCCCTGGGCACGCTGAAGTTGTGTTCAACGAAGCATCTGACGCCAGAGAGGCTGTACGACGTTATAATAACCGTGAACTGGACGGACGACCGATGAACGTGGCACTGATCACGCAGGTTCCAGATAGTCCAGCTGGTGGGTCACCCAGCAGTCGAATTGCATCTCGTCTAGGTCCCAGTCATGGAGGCTTCAACACACGCGCTTCTGGTCAATGGTACGTTATCGGTCCATTTTTTGAATGATGGCTGTGTAACAATAAAGCAGGCTTGTGTCGGCTGTTGTTCTGCTGGGCAGTCGTGTATGGCGACCGAGTTCGTTCCAAGATCCCGTTCTCTAGTACGTGCGATATGTTTTTACCCTTAGAGTAGATGGGATGCAGATACTTTTGCAAAAACGAACCAGTCTTCTGGGCCTGTACAAACAGTCCAGTATGAGTAGTAGTCGTATACGCTAGTCCACCACTTATCCGCGACTCATTGTGGGGCGATGAAAAAATACATCTAGATACTACTAACGCCACAGTCGCAAAAAAGATTGTAAGTTCCTTGAACGAACCACTAGTCACTAGTGCGTTACCTGTAGCAGATGGCAGCCAAGATTAACTCCGAACAGTGCCTGTGGTTTTTACCTAACGGAAAAATTTCACAACAGCGAAATACCGCTAATTCTACATAGTCAGCGATCAATGTGCGAAACCTCCACAGCTCTTCTACCCATTCCAGATACTGTGAAACAATCCTGTGTAGATGATCTCCTTTTCTGTCAATCAACTTTGGTGTAGTATCCTACCCAGACGCAGGATGTTCGTAACGTAGTTTGCAACTGATACTACTCAGGTGCTACCTGATGATGGATGTCGCTTAAAAATTCCATGTACACATCCAGCCTATCTCCATATGCACGTCAGTAGTCAATGACCCATGTATGTTTTCTTCGGTTATCTGGACAAACTGTCGCTGATTGGTTTCGCATAGGCGATTCTCCTTTTTTCACTTCTTCGGTGAACTCATCCTACCTCTTTCTACATTTTCACCCAGGCAACAACGGAATGCTGGTGGCGCTCAGTCCGGTCCAAGGATGGAGGTCGATATGGATGTGGTAAGGAAGGCGTTGTTCCACGTCAACGCAGGTGCTTCGGGTCCTCGGGGCCCGGTTGACTTCAACGTCAGTCTTCGTTAGTTGATTTAATCCATTCGCATGCCCCGCCCATTACCGAAACATTATCATATCCACTTGACCCCTTCGCTCTCAACCATGTTCGCACCTGCCTGCCGAATTCTTCCACCGCTAGTACCCCCGATACCATTACAAAACTGAGAAATCAGCCGTTGCTGTTGCTGTATACCTCTTGTTGGTGATCCGCCTTTCGCGTCTCGAATAATTCTCTGTTTCGTTCGGTAAAATATACTACTCTGTTCTACCTATAACCTGTGTTTCTGCCATATTTTTTGATGACATTGACGATTTTGGTGCAGCTCTAAAATCACATGCTCTTTCGTGCAAAACAACTTGGATAGGCTGGACTGAGTTCATTGTCATGATTATCACCAGCTGTAAGATCCGCCTACTTGTTGTACACTGGGTGTGGCTGCCACAGTTTCATCCACTGGTGATTTGGAAATTTGGGGTAGCTGCGCATTGTAAGTGGGGGCTGATATAATTAATGCCTAAATACAGGTCCGTCAGTGGACATTTAACTGGAGAGATTGGGAGTGGAGCTATGCATTGAAGGTAGTAGCTGGGTGTTCGGAGGCCAGTCGTCCCTAATAACCGAACATCACATCATTTGGATGGATGTGTCACGTACAGGACACGGACCAATCGAGCCGTATAGTAAAATGGAGCGCACCGCAGCACTGTAAACTCTACCTTTGACGGATAAACGGATTTCACGCCCACGCCACAGGTGATGCAGTTTCACATAAGCTGCTCTGGCCTTCCCGATCCGGATGGAACTATCATCTTTCGCGAGACCACCGGGACTGGTACAGCTGTCCAGGTAGACGAAACCATTAGGCGAACTTCAGCATTACTGGTCCGGTGTTCACAGATCTTAGCGTTGGGGCGAATACAATGGCCTGTCAGGAACCAGGATACTATCAAGTCTCGGATTAAGCTAACCGTTTTTGTCCCATTATTCCATGAGAATACAACACGAGTGCTCTTGAGAAACGCACCTTTGCGTTTTCATGATCAGGTGCCCATTGCAGGGCAACAGGGGGAGGTTGGGAACTACTATCTACACAGATAGCAAAGTTACCAGGTTCCCACTCATCCGAGTTCGCTTGTGCGGATTACCAATCGTGCTCCTAGGTCAGATATCCATACGCCTTAACCAATTATGGTCCTAATTTATGTAGAAATGTACGGTAGCTAAATCAGAAATCCGAATATATGCTTTCATTTCGATTCGAGTGGATTTTGAAAAAGACCTGACAAGAAACTAGAAGCTTGTTAGTAGTACAAGAGGATCTGGCTACAACCGCTTCCGCGGGTCTTACAACTTGGGGCGTTGCTCCCGAATTCCGACCAGTCCTTGGTGGAGGACGCTACACCTCGACAGTGGAACTGCCGCGCTGGCCTGCTACCTTGGCAACTCTCGTCGCTAGTGACCTATTAGAAACGCTCAGATGTTTCGAACCACCTGCAATCGTGTTAGGTGGAATTGCACGCGGATCCCGCTTCACCGCTCGCACTCAGGTGCTGCTACGGCCGAAAAGTCCATCCCACGCAAGATTGGTCAAGAACTCGGGACGCTTGCCGGTCCGGCACCAAGTCGAGACCTGATTGGTCGAAAGTCTGGATCCAACAGCCAATCATGACCCAGTATCGACTGAGTGCTGGCTGCCAATGGCGCATCCAGAACGCGTCAGAATTTCCAGAAAGTTACTACCACCTACGCTATATATATGAAGCGCTGTACAAGTGTTCCTGACTTCGTTTTGGGTATAATATACATTGTGCACCTTTGGCGGTTGTTTTGACTTGAGCGCTAGCTCAGGAGGCCCAGACCGAGAAATAAGCCGAGAAAAATACCGTTGTTACAGATCGTTTCTGTTGGGTCATCCGAATTTTCAGTCGATTCATTTCGAATTGGCATCTTCGGTATAGCACACCCAATCCGTAGCTTATAGTATCTGTTTCAGTGGATTAACTACCATCTCACCGAGGTCCCATCTTCCGACAACCTGACTGGGAATTCACACATTCAATCTAACTGAAGTGGGGTCCGTTCGGGTAGGGGGACTATTCGTTTCGCGGCGAATGTTGGAACGTGCTTTGTCTGTTTTCGCGAACCTTTCGCCACAGTAGATGGTGGTGTTCTACTGGGGCACGGGCATCCACGAGAAGGCACCATTCAAACTGCTGTACGTAATGAGGTCGTCCCTTCCCGCTACTACGCATCGGAATGCGACAGCTTTTTCAATTACGCCAATAATGAAACAAAACCCTGGACATTGCCACGCAGTGAGACTTGGTCGTGGTTTATGGGCACCTGATCCAAATTACGGTGATGATTTCGACACTGTCAGACCTGTACTCAACTGCATCAGTCATGACGCCTCGGCCCGGAGATATCCACCACAAAATAAGGGCGCTTTTAACTCGTGCAACCCATACATCATCATCATCATCGACAGCATGACACCAGTGTTCAACACCAATGCTTCACTGCCGTACAACCATGATCTGCTTGAAAGCCTTATTGTAGAGATTAAAGGTGGATGGGAAAGGAACTCAGTGATAGCTTACCACAGCCATTCCTAGGTGCCTATACCTCCAGACATTCACTCAGGCAATCTGGATAGAAACTGACAACAAGAACGCTCTGACATCGGTTGGCAGCCATATCTCGTAGTGTCTTCAACCAGGCACAGTGAGGATCACGCGGTCCCCATCCTGGAAGGCGAGTAGCACCGACAGCACCCAAGCGTTTCGTAATTTCATTCATACTCCTCTGCCAGGTCATGGATGGCCACCTCTCTGTTTACGCCACTCTGAATTGGGTATGGAAAACACCACTCTCTTCGGCAAACGATGGTTCGGTATACGCAACACGTCCCAACCAACGCATCTTCTGGTATTGGACACATTCTTCAATGGAGGTACCCGTTGCACAACCGAAAACGCGCTTTATAACTGCCTCGCCACGAATTCGTCGACACCAACCCCCACGAGCTATGGTTCTGAGACAACGATTGTCAAACACCTGAAGACGTCTCAGTTCCGCTGCTAGAGTAGGCCAAGTCTCACAGCTATACAAAACAGCACGTATTGTAGCTCGTTGCAGACGTCTCATGAATACTGCGATTGTTGGGAACCGTCAAAGATCCCGAACCCATTGTTCTGTCTAGTTTTGGTGATGTAGATGTGGCCGCACCCACGAAAACGCGTTCGTGCGAGAAGGAAAGTTAGGTAAGGATTGGAGCTAAATTTGCCCAGCTGTCACTCGTTCCATCCGGGGATGCTAGACAGTCTCTGAAGTCTCTGATCCACAGCTTTTGTGAATGGGCAGCACGTAGCTCAGTGGTCGAGACACGAATCCACTGAATGTCCGTGGTTCGAACCCAACACCGGACCGCTTCTGTCTCAACTTGGACAATCTGGAAGTATCTCAGCCGCCTGGTTTCCTTTTGGGTGCCTATGGACCGGAAGAGGGTTCCATGTGCACGATTATTATCTTTTTTGTCAGTGCAGCGCGAATCCGTGTAAGCCCAAGTGACATGATTGGACAGACCGCCATGCAAAAGGTTAGTTTAAGGTACGGTTTGCTACTAGCCCGGCTTGTATAGCATTCTGTCGTTTGCATTGTCCATTTGCGAAGAAATTGCTGTCAAGGGGCCGTAACACAATGCAGTCTAATCCTAACACAAGGACCACTCACCGGAAAAGCATTTGGTAGTCTTTCGGGGCGCGAGCCTATATGGAGTGTTCTTTTGAATAGTCAAGTGTTTCCCATACGACAAGCAGTGGAAGCCGTCCAGTAAAAAAACCCGAATGTCAGTAAGGCTTCGTTTTCAAATTAATTTCCTGAACAGTGAGTCTGTGTTCGAACTCAGTAATAGAGAGTTCCAAGTAGCGTGAACTCAAAAACCGACAGGAGAAATGCTCATCCCGTCAGCCACTCAATCGCATGTATTTTAAAATCAACGTCTTTGGTTGTTTTATCCGGACTCCGAAATGCTTTGTTTCATTTGATTGACCTTTATCTTCTTAGCTTTGTTCTTTCTGCTCATTTCCATGGGATCCAGAAGGGAATATCGTAAAGCCGTTTGTTTGTTCGGAAACGTTTTAACGCGTTGCAGAACCAGCATTGGTTCCTGTGGATTCATCGTGATCGATGCAATGCGGACGGGTATGCAAATTTCGCACCGATGCTGTGTCCCAAATGAGCTTTTACGTGCGATGTTAGGTGTCATGCGAAGTTAGCTTCTAGCTTGCGAGGGGATAGAAAATCCGTGCACCACTTTGCTTTCCCCGAAAGTCCCCTGGATTATCGACCAAAAATTCGAATGATCGATCTTGATCACGTGTGAGTAACTTTTCAGTGTAGTCGTTTGTGAGCATAATTCAACCAGTTCACTCCCATTCAAACAAGGGGGCTATAAAATCGTATTCGTGAGACTTGTTTTGAGGAATAATCAGTAGAGCATGCAACGGTTCGGTCACGTGCTTTGCATGCCGAATCGAACTCCACACCACTTCGGCGGCATTCTGTACCCTGCGCACTGTAGATTCACATTATCTAAACTCAAACAGGTTGAAAAAATTGAACGGAGACAATGATGACTACTGATTATGATTTAGTTCCAAAACGTAGCACGGAAAATCATGGATGGATCTTGATCCTGAGGAAAAATTGTAAAGATTATGAATGCTGTCCGTGGTGTACGTACTCCAGGCTGACGAAGATGCAACTGTTAACCGGAATCATCCAGGATGTCCGTTTCGAAACTTGAGTGGTTTCGGCAGGTTAGGATGAGACACCCTGCTCTATCACTGTGGTTCTCCTTGAATATCAATCTCTGGTTGAGTACACTGAAAGATTGCATGGCAGCTAAGCACCAGTTCCAAAAACCGATTTGTATATGATCTGGATGATAGTTTAACAGCAGCAGGGCAGACGGGGGTTTTCTCAACGCTAACCAGGTTTTGGAACAAATTCGATACCTTTGAGATCAGATTGGATTCATCATCATCATCGTCATCCTTGTCAGCTGTGGTAATAGATTCTATCACGTCACAATACCCATGGGGCTAGCTGTAGATTTTTTCGTTCCTGGAACTGCCGATCGAAAGATTAGTCTGGGAGTGCACGTGGAGAAATCATAACACCTTATAATGGTACGCTCGTAACGTTTCTTCAAACTCAACACTTCAGCTCAAAAACCATTTTATGTTTAGGTGTCTGGCCTAGAATTCGGGTTTTATATGTCAGTTTGAGGGGTCTGACAAAATTATTTAAGCGACCCGTCTGAGCCCTTCACGCGCTTTAACAATCAGTCTAGTTTGAACGCTATCTGGCCAAATCGATCACGTAGGATTTGTTTGTACTTTTTTTCCGGAGTTTCTGTGTTGAAATTCCTTTCGAGTTACAGTACGGCACATCTACAGAAATACCTGTCCTGTTCATCAATCCAACATACGATCGAACTTAATGGTGTGCTACAACTCTCCGATTAAAGTGAGTATAACTCCCACACTATTGCGTCCCTGATATTCGTGAACACAAATACAATCTGAACACATTGATCTTTTTTATAGAGGAAAATGTTGGTAGCTCAATCTTTGCAACTTCCGGACGAGTTCACCCAGCGCAGCTTCATACGCTCGAATCCGGAGTCGAGTGCAGGACTGATCGCAAGGGAACAACATTCGTGTGAGTCCAAAAAAGCTAAATTATGTGGATCGCTGAGATTAGAACTGCACTAAAATCAACCATTTGAGGGAAACACCGTAGAGCGCAAGGTGCGCGATAACTGATAAATAATGACAATCAAAAGTACCACTGAATAGCGACATATTCTATGGGTGAAGCACCGATGCTCTACGATGCAATCAATGAAGGTAGACAGCGCGATCCGGACTAAAACGAACAGGTCCTGTTCACTACTTTGAAACCAGAATAAGCTGAAAGTTACTCACTGCCAGAAATGATTAAAAACAGCCCAAAATGAATCGAAAGTTATCGACCCAGAAGCAGCCGCTGAACCCTTTATCGACTAGTGGGCTGTGAATGAAGCAATTTCACTGAGCACAGTGGGGTTGGTTTCTCACACCCGTCTTAGTCGAACGACTCTCGTTAGCGTACCTGTTCTGGTGTTCGTTTGATCTGCCTTCTGTTCTAGTGGGAGGAAACAGTATGCCTACTGATCTGTTACAAAGAACTGGATCTGAATTGCGGATTATCGATATCACGGCCCTGACCGCGAACTGGACATCAAGCGAAATATGCTAATTGTTTCCTACAGATGGAGAGGAAGAGCACCAGTAAGATAAATCCAAAAGGATTATCCGAAGGTCGGGACAAAGTATGTTGTTGGAAGAGTGTAGAAAACTGAGAATACGAGCCAGGTCTGACATCAGATCAGCTTGAGAGTGATGTAGGGCTTTTGTCGGTTGTGGGGCATCAGATCAGCAGTGGCGACGTTTTACCGAACCAACGCGTGCACTAAATGGGTCGTTGCATCTCATCCGCCAGTTTCATTATTCCAAGTACTCACTACTACAAACAAGGTCCTGAGGGAACATGGCCGGAGGGTATTCCGGGGAAAAAAGTACTACTGGAGAAATAACTTAACCTGGAGTTTTGTGAAGGATGAATCCATGATCAGAATGACACCCCCCACCTGATAATTATGTCCGCGTTCGAACCACGGTTTCGAAAGTACTCTAAAATGTGCGACAGTTGCGACCGCTGATCATTGAATCCAAAATACAGTGCGCACTAAGATCGAAGTTTCACTTACATTTCAGCTAAAAGAAAAGTACTGAACTGCACCCGTTCATTCGAATGGTAGTCAGGTCAGGAAAAACTTCACTCGATTACTTCTTAGGCAGTATATTTTCTTCCATGAAAAAACAAGGCAGAATAGGAACAATTACCGGAGAACACCCGTTTCTGTCAACAATTTCGTCAGGTTTAATCGCAGCACGTCGGGTGCCACGTCCAAAGGGGTTTTTCCAGCCTGAACAAGGGATGTAAAAGGATCGGTTCATTTGTCACTACTGACCCAATGCGAGTGGTCACAATTAAAAAAAAACAGTCTGCCATGGAGGCGCCACTGAGGGGACGCGGTCACGAGAACAGGCGAAGCCCGGATAAACTGATGAGGGCGCCAAAGACACAATTAATTAGAACGGCTCTAAACCTCTGCTGAAATCGGGCGTCGCAAAATAGACACTATGAGACGTTTGGCTCGCGGACGTTCCATCGACCCGAATAGCAGGACAAAAGAATGAAAACGAAGTAGAAAGCCCTATTCGAAAGAATACACACTACGGAGAGGCGATAAAATCGGTACCACTTCGGCTGGTTCGAACGGAACTGAGGTTTTTATCAATCAAAAAACAGCGCTCACTTTGTTTTTGTAGGAAACGGAGGCGCCAGCATCTAGAAGCAGTCGTACCGCTGACATATTGTCTTCCTCGCAAGCATAGTGACTGGAATGGTGAACAGATAAAAGAGAATCATCATCATCAACGACAGCATGACATCAGTGCTCAACACCAATGCTTCACTGCCGTACAGCCATGACTTATTTGAAAGCCTTATTGTAAAGAAAAGAATAAAGGTGGATGGGGGAGGGACTTAGTGCTAGCTTAACACAATCATTCCGAGGTGCCTACACCAAGCACATAGATGTGGATGGTAGAAAGAATTTAAACAGGCGGTATGAATTGGAGTCAACTGACCATATTATTCGAAAGTATGCCGGTTATTACTTGAGGGTTTATGTACGTCCGTGACCCATTGGGCTATGCCGCACGACATTTCCAGAGTCCCCCGAGACCAAGTTAGCCAATGGATAGAGGTCCGACCAACAGTCAACTGGTCTTCTAGGTTGCAAATTTATAACATGCGTGGCAACTTATCCTTTGAAAAAATGCCACGCGGTGTCGTTTCCCGCCAAACAACCGCCTTACGGTCAAGTATTTGGACCCACGTCTTTGGTGGATGACCTTAGTCGTCTTCCTGTCCAGCTCTGACAGCCGACGTATAACCATGAGTGGCATAGTTTCAAGTGACTATCACGTGGTCCCATCAGCCAGGTTGCCTTATTTGTTGCGTACATCACGGCCGGTAGGCGAAAACTGACTTCTGCTGACGTCTCCCCTCTTTCTCTTCCAACTATTCGTCGGTTACACATTGGATCAGGGACCATGAGGTTTCAAAATGGACACAATCAGTGGAGGAAAATTGTCTCTTCCTGGTTATACAGTACCCAGAAATATTCCAATGAATTTGACGTCTAATGAAAAATAACAGGTGTGGCCAAAATACCGTGCAATTCGAAGGAAGTACAATGACAAGATACCGGTCGAGTATAAATAGCAGCAAATGAAACAAGAGGGAGAAGTCTCGTTTTTCACTCAAGGCTCTAGGTTCAGATCATCCAAAAGACCATCAGCGATATGTGAATCTACAAGGTCAAACATGCATCTGCTTAGTTTCCAGATCACTTTTTTGATCACACGCGAACTAGAAGGATAAAAAAGGGTGCTTATCTGGCTATATCAAAGTCAACATCAGTCATCGCAGTGGAACTTCAATACCATACAACCGCGACAAGTTTACTTGGAGAAATCCACACTATGATTAGGAAACGTCAGGAAGCTGGATGAGATCGAACGGAAAGTGACAAAAGTCAGTCAAGGTACCTCAGACGGACCTCGTAGATGCTGTGTACTGGAAGCGTTCACAGATGGTCACAGATTGGAACCAGTCAAAAGGAATTAAAGCGCGTATTACCAGACAGAGAGCACGGATCTAAATACAGACTGAGTGACTGACGACGAACGTCTGTTGGGCTCCCTGGTATGGAATATCACGCGAGCAGTCTATCAAAAAGTTCTCTGTTTACGACATTCTCGATTGAGATAGCTAAATGATGGGGTCGGTTGGTCAGTATAGACCGTAGTGTTCATGTGACTGATTCCGACTAAGTGGTTCTGAGTGAGAATGGTTCCAGAGAATCGACCAATGGGCACCTTTTCCGCTGGGTCGATCAGTGATTTGCTCTACCGCTATTATACCTTCACGAAGAAGCATATATCCCTGAGATACTGTAAGCAATACACATAATTCACACGCGCTTTCATTCTGACAAAGGCTAAATTAACAGAAATTAAGTTTTCGGATTCCTAGTTCAACTTGACAATGACTGGTGGGAGTAAGCTGTGAAAGTTCGACAAACAGTCCTTTAAAGCTGAAAAGCTGTTTTATCCCCGTCGAGAATTGCCACACTACACTAAACACCCTTCCGGTGTTTAGCTGCCAAACCACCAGAGGGAAGCACGAGGGCTGGGATACTGCCACGTTGCCCAAGCCTAGACAGAGGAAGTCGAGAGGCAGAGGTCGGGTTCGAACCACGGACCTTCCGGTCAGTAAATTCACGCACTAACCACTGAACCATCTCGCTCACTGGTACCCATGGGGATTTGAACTTTATAAGTAGAAGCTAAAAACTGTCGGTTATCAACGAGTGACTGATCTGCACTGTGAAAGACAAATGGGAGAAAAAATATTGATTCAACTAACAGTGGAGTAGAGCCTTCGTTGTCGGCAATGTTTGTGACATCAGTAGAGGATGCCTGTTCAAGAATCAACTTGACCATATCCAAATTTCCTTGAGAAACGGCACGATGAAGCGGAGTGGTTCCACCCCAGTCACGTATGTCCACGCGAGCCCCGGCACTCAACAGACACTGGGCTATCTGGGAGAATGCAAAGGTGGTAAGGAACGAAAGGCTAAATCGTCAGAGTTGGACTTACATCGGGATAATGTTGGAGAAACAAAGTCAGACAACAGGAAAAATCTACCAATGTTTGGTTGACCAGACACGTGAGAGTGCAATGGGCGAATCACGTTATGATTCGTGAAAAATAGCTCTTACGATCAAACCAAATTAGTTTGAAAATGAGTGTATTTCGCTAATTTCGTGCATTTTCGTTTCAAGTAGAACATAAGGTTGACGGAAACTCGGGGGGACTACGCCCACCTGATGCGCCCAAGAAGGGCGACATCGGTCGTGGACTGTCGGGGAATTTTCAGCAACCTTATAAGTAGTGCATTACGGATATACATGTATCGCGATATCTCGAATATCTTAGCGACTGAAACATGAGGCGGCCTGGTGCAGCACATTCAGTTGCCTGGAAACATCAAAAACGAGAGATTCAAATGGGTTCCAAATTTGTTTGCAAATGACTGTATTTTGCTGAGCTCTTAAGATCATCATGTTCACTCAATCTGCTTAAATTCTTGGCGCGTTGATGAATCGCACCCGCAAGGAAAGAGTTTGATTCTAGGGAAACGTAGGTCACAGCGTTTTTGTTCAAACTAGGCGTATAAATCTGCACTCCCTAATAGAGTACACCTGAACTTAACACTTCAGCATGCTATACTGAAAATACACCACACTGAACCGATTGGGACATGGCTGGACGACAGTGCTGTCCCGACAATCCGATGCTATCTTGTATAATTTAGATAAATGCGCTTCACACTTGCAAAAATTATTAGTAACAAGTTCGAGCCCCACACCTGCGAATGGCTTAATTAAGGTCTACCTGAGAGCGTTGAATAACTTTCCGTGTTTGACTCTCGGTGTCTTCGAGTGCGGTCTCCCGAGCTTTCAGTGAAAAGTTCACTGATACTCCTGGATTCGGGTATCAATCCAAAACTACCCTCCTCTATCTACCAAGATCATCGGAGAACGAAAATGTGGCAGCAATAACAGTCGTACAGAATGTACGTGGTTTAAGGCCGTAGATGACGATGGATGATAATCAACCAACATGTCAGCCAAGTCACATTGTCGCCGTCTTGCTCAGACTACACTTTGACCAAAGTGTGCTCGTAATGCTCTGTTCATTTCTTAGTTAGACTAAGAAAGAACAAAAAAGCTTCGGGTTCGAATAACTTCCCATGTAGAAGCACACCATTTTTATTCATGATCATCTGCTTCCTAAATTCAGCGCATCACGAAGGAAGTCACACAAATGTTTTAAAAAATCATGTACGATTGGGAAATTGGCTTTCTAGCAGAATGGGACACCTGCTCAGTAAATCCAATTAGTCTTCCCAAGATAAATAAAAGCCATGGGGAGAATTTTGCAGCAGGGTTGAGAAACCGGGGATGTTCATTTGAGAGTTGGCTAATCTCCGAGCAAGATGGTGGCGATAAAGGGACCAATCGTGGTTCGAATCTGCGATCGCATGCGGAGAGATTAATGTTGTTCTGTTTGCTGCTCAGTGGCAAGAACATCCTAGAATGGTACCCTGCATTTGAAGGACCTGTGAACCACGTCCGATTTAGATTCTACTGGATAACAGATCCGCCCGTTACTCGCGCTACTTTAGACTCCCACCTGATTTTGACGAAGCTGCCCTGGTGCTGGACTCAATTCTCAAGAGGTTACGCCACAAACCATAGTCTATGGTACCTGAACAATGCAAACGACGGGGCGACAAGAAAACGCTATCACGACCTACCACACCCAATCAAATTCCTTCAACGACGGCGTCTGCAGTGGCTATGGCATCTGCTGCACAGGGACTACGTTGGGAACATCAAGCAAGTCGTGGATCCTATACCATGTCAGGAATGCGATTGTCGCCTTGGAGGACAACTGAAAACGTGACTCAGTATATGGACAACAGCGACTCCGCGTGATATACAAAGTTAGACACCCGGGGCCAGCACCAGAATGTGATTGGTTCAGATATGTTAGCTGATCACCAGTAGCGCGTATCCGAGACATTCCTGAAGCCGACTAAATAGCAACGGGGTGAGGAACACTCGTGCAAACACCTAGGTTCCGGGGATACAATCATTCGGTTTCTGAAACCGCAAAATACAATAGAGATATTTGACGAAGTGGAACAGTCCGACGCCAAATCGCCCACATACATTACTATACTTTATAAATCGTGTATTCTGAATGAAACATGTCAGTGAACCTATGCAATTGTCAACCCCCCTCCCAAAGAAGAGGGCAAAACTAGTCAGTGCCTTTATCATTTCTGACTGACAAAATTGAAGGGATCCGTTGCAGCTACATTTTAATGTGGAACCTACGCGGAGCTGAAGACCGATAATAGCTGTGCCTCTGTTGTGACTTGATGGGCGATCGTGCAACTCTGTATCGGTCCCTTGGCTTCCTGCTCCACCCACTATGGTATACCATAAATCCGGCTGCTCTACACAGTCCTTTCTGGAGACAAAAGAAAATTAGTACAACCGTATTTATAGAGTAATCACAGAATGTTCCACAAGGTCGTGCTAGAATCTCCGTGAGAGGGCGAGAAGCGTCGAGTTGAAGATGCTCGATCCGGATTGGCTGGCTTTATAACCAATCAGATCATGCCTCCGCTTGGTCCGTATCCTGCACGTGACACCCGTCCAGATAGTGTGATGTTCGGTTATTAGGGCGGCTGGCCTCCGTACAGCCTCTCGGCCGCTCTACACAGTCCTTTCTGGAGACAAAAGAAAATTAGTACAACCGTATTTATAGAGTAATCACAGAATGTTCCACAAGGTCGTGCTAGAATCTCCGTGAGAGGGCGAGAAGCGTCGAGTTGAAGATGCTCGATCCGGATTGGCTGGCTTTATAACCAATCAGATCATGCCTCCGCTTGGTCCGTATCCTGCACGTGACACCCGTCCAGATAGTGTGATGTTCGGTTATTAGGGCGGCTGGCCTCCGTACAGCCTCTTACAGAGTACCGCACATCAACAGATTACAAGCCAGTGTTGTGAGTGATGAAATCGACATATGAACGGTAGACTGAATTTTGACCGACACTAGCTCATTTTAACCTTTTGCCAAGTCGATGTGAGCCCAAACACTGATGTTCAGCTCTAGAGAGCGCTGTCCGCGCAGGTGAAGATATTAATATTAATAGTAATAGTAATTAATATATGGTCAGGGAACGTTTTTCTTGAGGGGGAGGATCAATTGTATCGGTACAACTTGGTATTATTTTGGAGTCCTTCTTCCATCTTAAAGTTACCTATACCAGTGACCACCAATCAGTCTACTCATTCGCCTACGTTCAAAGTCGATAATGTAGACATCTCCGGTGTCGTCTGTATGCTGTTTGCTCCTATTCAGCTCTGCTGACATCCCAAATACACTTTAGGGCTGAGCTGCCGAACGTGTTCCTGGTTATTCCAAACGCGGACTGAACAAGATCCAAGAAGAAATGCAACTGAAAGAACCAAACCGGTGTATGAGCAGGCAAAAGAATGAACAGACAAGATTCACATGTCCAAGTCCGCATATTGTAATGACGGTGTTTTCCTCGGTTTAGTTCTCGGTCTGAACCTCCCGAGCTAGCGTTCTCACCAGAATCAACTACATATGGTGCACACGGTCTACTAACACCCAAAACAAGGACAAGAACAGTTATACAGCGCGTCGCATACATAGTGTACACCGCGATTGCATTCTGGAAATTCTGGTGCCTTGTGGGTGCGCTACTGACAACTAGCATTGGGCCAATACTGGGTCACGACTGGCTGTTGGGCCCAGGCTTTCGACCAATCGGAGCTCGCCTTAATGCCGGACCAGCAAGCGGCTCGAACTCTTGGCAAATCTTCTGCGGGATTGGCTTCTCGGCAGTAGCAGCGTCTAACTGCGAGCAGCAAAGCGGTACCGGGGTGGAATCCCGCCCGACACATCTAACTCAACAGGTGAAAAGCGCAACTTAACCTGTGGTCAACTATACAAAGCTCATTACGTGTAAGGTGGGTGCGTTCAGAGTATCACTTATGTGTACAGCAACTTCCGACTGGCAATGCCGGTTCGAAAAACTCATCAACGAGAGAGAACCTCCTCACTCTTGCTCTAAATCCGAATAGAAAACGAGGAGAAACAGTTGTCTAAAACGCAGTGAACTCACTTCCAATCGATTCTTAGAGGCTGCATAATGCATGGGACGTTGTCCGGTTGAATTAACTGCATTCACATCGGCCCGGGCCTCTTCGATGAGGAACTTGGCGACTTGCGTGCGGCCAGCAGAAACTGCGATCATTAATGGAGTCCAGTCAGACTGAAAAAGTAACAAAGTAAGTAAGAAAAGACATCAGTTTAGTTATAAAACCGTCAGACAGGCGTTGTTCAGGGGAATGACATCAAACACGTCAAATAACGTCACAAAGCCTTTAACCATTTGTACCCACCTCCGGAGAGGGACGTGGAGAATATCAGTGATATTCACATAAAACTAGGCTGACATACGATCATGTCCGCTGGGGAAAAAGGAAACTGGAAAGCGATTTGCAAACAAATTTGGTTCTGCTAGAGACTCACCCGGAACCCAGCCGGATCTCTCGTTTGTGGTGTTTCCAGACAACTGAATGTGCTGCGTCAGGCCGCCTCAAGTTTCAGTCGCTAAGATATTCGAAATATCGCGATACATGTATATTCGTAATGCATTACTCAAAAGGTTGTCGACGAATTTTCAGCAACCTTATGAGTAGTGCATTACGAATAAACTGGAAAGCATTCAGTGTATCATAAATCCAGTGCGCATGTAGTTCCTCACGCCTTATTAACGAATATCGTCCCGTACTGTAAATAAATGACGTATTGAATTCCTTTCGTATCGCACACTGAGCAACGTGGCATTACCGTTTAGCGCCAATCACCCTTAGTGCCCACAATCGCTGCCCGATAGACGGTATACCAATGGGATCCCCGTCCGGCGCACTTTTAGCAGACGTTTCGTCGGCCCAAATCACCAGTTTGATACATGCGGCATTAAACCGACAACACGTAAAATATCTCGTTTGTGGTAATCCTCAAATGAATATGCGGTACGAAGACCGTCACGTGTTTCAGTTGGTACGATATTTGAAACTTATACTCATAAGGTTAGTGAAACCTTTTCAGCAACACGCGACCGAGTCCGCATTTGTTGTGATTCATAAAGTAGCCCTAAGACACCACTTCATCGACTTCCGTTGGAAAGTGAGAAAGACCGGAAATGCCTTCGAAGAGAATGGAAGTTCTTGTTGGAAACACCTTTGTTCCAAGCAATCCTCATGTGAGAGTAACGTACCCGAAAAATTTCAATCGAAAAGTTTCATGAAACCTCATGGATAGTATGCTACGTCTATCGAATATTGTACCCCCTGCAGTACATTCGGTTGAAAAACTCAACGGATTCTTGCGTCAAAACCGAATTGGCGTATTGAAAGAAAGACTTGCTTTGATACGCTCCGTTTAATTAGGAGATATAGCCCTCAGAGGCCATTGTTCGCCATGAACAAGACGTTCATGGCTGCCTAGTTGGATGTACCGGCCAAAACTCACCCACTGCCTAAAAGACAGTTCAGTTCAGTTCTGTCCAAACTGTTCGTTCCAGATCCATTTAGCTGCAGCTGTGATGTCTGGCGCTGTTGTCCAAAAGAATACGAGATCGCGTCCCACCTTCTCTGTTTCAAAATGATTATGAGCGGGTTGGCTTTTCGAATGCATTTAGTCTACTGTACTCGGTGTGCAAACATTACTCAAAAAGACTTCACAAAAGGATGCCATCAACTGGCAAAATTAGAATTTTTAAACCTGAGGCCGACTGTGGCTAAAGCGGTACCGTTCACTGCGGTAGGAGTGTGAGAATAGCACGGTGTTTCCTCTAGATGATCAGAATTTCTGTATTTGAAAAAGCGGTAATAGTGCTTCTTCCAGAGGAAGGACAGGTTGGAAATGGTCAGTTCCAAAAACCGATGTCTCAACCCATGAGGCGACTGTCGGCATATTATCAAATTCCGTCAAAAAACGAACAGACGTTACTGTGGGCCCAGGAAGGCTGTAAACATCAGCTGTGTGAGACAGCATTGAAAGAAGGACAGTTACGTCTTATTAGCTGCGATGTCTGGCCAGGGCAGCCTACTGCATCATCATCATCATCGACAGTACGACATCAGTGTTCAACACCGATGCTTCACTGCCATAGTTGTGAATGCCATGGTTATACCACGGCTGGGATACTGCCACGGCGCCCACACCTAGACAGGTTAGGGTCCTCAACCAAAGCCTTTGGCTCAAAAGCCTAACCGCAAGGCAGCGGTGTTTGGCAGGAAATGCAAATGCACTCTACCATTTCTACGGAACAAGTCGCCACATGTTCTAACCCCCAACCTGGAGGGCCAAGGGACTGTGTTCGTCAGACCTCTAACCATTGACCAACTTAGTATGAGAGACTGTGTGAGTGTCACGGGGACATGCTCCAGCATAGCTCAATGGACCGCTGAGGTGCACAAGCCGTCACACCACGGTAAGGTCCAGTCTCTTTGTGACAGCCTACTGCAACTAATTGATGACGCTACTACAGCATCGGCTTCGGGGAGAGGGTCCTCCACAAACAGCCTAATAACCGTTACCTAGCGGTTCGGACTTTCGAGTCAGGTTAATCGTCCCACTGCATTGTGAGGTACACTTTCAGAGCGAAAACTCACACCAAAGAACCTTAACCAAACCACTTTCTTCGGTCCGGCAACCAGGGAATACGAATCGCTCTTACAGCTCTTCGTTCACCGACCCGCTCTCACAGCCCTCTCAACTAAGCTCTCCAGACTTAGTTCGCTGTCAATCACTTGACTACTCAGCCCGTTTCCAAACTTCTCCCTCTCTGACAAATTCACAGGATGTGCACTACATTGTGGCTTTTAATATCCGCAGTCTGTGTCAAACTGGTCAGCAGGTATGTCTTTATCGCACTGGACACCTGGTTTCGGTCAGCATCAATGGCAGTGGTTTTCCTAAGTTATAGACTTTTTCAGTCACAAGATGTGGACAAACCTTTAACACAAACGTTAACACCATGAAAACCAACCCTGGATTCATTAGGGCCATGTGGCCAACCAGCTAGCTTCGACACAAGATTGTCGCTCGGTTTGGAGCACCCGCACAACTACGACATTGTGCGGGTACGTACATCTATTCGCTGCCCTTCTGGAAAATGCCAGCTGATACATGACCATTCAGTGGACCACGTGTAAAACGTCTCTGTAGGCCAACACCATCGGGTTGAGTTGACTGAAAAGCTTTCAATCCCAATGAACACTAGGTCTCGTCACCATCTTTGGTCTCACTGACACCATGGAAACCATAAAAGCGACAAACTTCCGCGAGGGTTTACGCGGTACCCCCTTCCTTGGATGAACAGGGAAGGGTTGGAAAATGGAGAGGGCATTTGTAACAGGAAAGTCTCACTCCATTCTAACTAATCCGTTCAACTCGTCCGAGGAGTGCGGATGTTAGCGAGATTTCTGACGGAGATGAGACCCCAAACCATCCA